GTTTCCCACTTTTCCCCCAGTGCCAGTGAAACCCTGGAGTTATGGCCACCTTTGGGATGAGTTTTCTTTCTCACCGTTGGCAAATTCCCCAAATTTCAATTTATTGTATTCATCAACTAAAAGTTCCTAATGAGATACTTCTATCATCATTTTACAGTCATAAGAACTGTTTCCCTGTCTGTACATCTAAGTTTTAAATTTTAGCTTACATAATTTCTTACAGGGACTGCCTCTGACATTAATCATACAGATGACGGATCTAGTATAAAGGATGAGTCCTTTACATTACCTCTTTTACCTTCCACATTATCACTTTTGCAAACCCTCCAGTACACCGACTGCTGGAAACAACTCTCTTCGAGTGTGCTGGTATTTCTTTCTTGATAATAATACACATTTTCTTACCTGGACGTTTCTGATGCTATTGACACACATAACTATGCAGAGATGAAAACCAGGAAAGCTAATTTACTTAATCAAATCTTACAAAACCAAAACTGATTTTGTTTAAGGACTGTTTTGACAACTGATGTAGGTTACTAATTTTGTCTGAATGAATATGTCCTCATTGTAGACAGGAGCAATGTTGTAATGCAGCACGTCAGCAGTGTGTGCTCTAGGCCACATTAATGTCATTCTTTCTGTTTATTAAGTGCATTTGCTTTTATCTTAGTATTAAAATTGTCACCTGTACCTGGTTACTACAGAACCCTGCTGAGAATATTTTCCTCCTCTCAAAAGGTTTGTTTTCTAGATTAAATAGTAAGGTGTCAAGTTAATCCCACTCCATGTCACAATGTAAATATATTTTGAATAGATTTGCAATTTGAGAGACAAAAGAATGTGTTTAAATAAAATACTTCCTTAAAAGAATGTTTTTTCATTTTATTTGAGAAAGGACTGTAATTTGTTAGCTTGAAAAATTATCACTTTGTCATTCTTTTTATCACAGCATTTGGCATTAGGCTATCTTTGCTGTACGTGATTCTTCAATAGTAATGTGTGGTACAGGAATCAAGGTGCTGTGTGTGGTGTCTGCTACTAGCATATCAGTTCTGGTTCTACAACAGGTGCATTGAATAAAGGCTGCATGGCGCAAAGAGGTAAAGGTCAAGTGCTTTTGAAACTCTCTAAATCATTAATGTAAAAAAATAATCGTAAGTGTAATACTGCAGGTGGTCTCAGATGTGCAAAATTGTTTCCACTTCAGATAGAAGGTTGATTTATATCATTGGAGAGGAGCATGTTTGCTGTCTGCAATTTCTTTTTAAGAATTTAGTTTGGCTTGGCTTTACAGAAAGTTGACGGAAGCTTTTTTTTTTTTTTTTTCATTTCCACCCTGTCTGCTTATGAGTTTACCAAAATAAACATTGTCAAAAATATAGAAGCCATCCTATTTGTTTGCAAGAGCTCACCTTCTGAAAAATGTGCTATGGCTTAAATATTTTGTTCAATAAGTATCTTGTGCTCAGTTGAAAAGGATTTTCACTGTTACCCTTAGTGGACAATCCTAACAGTAGACTTAAAGTTTGAATGATGTTCCACTGAGTGTACCTCCTAACCTTTAAATGCCATCATCGTACTGTTAGTGTTCATCAGCTTATGAAATTGTTCTTCTGACAGCACGTATTTCTGCTGGCTTTGGTAGTTCGAAGCAAATGTGATTCTTTATTCCCATTGTTATGATTTTATTTACATAAACTTAAAAAGCTCAATTGCAGTGTGTGTCGGGAGTTAGAATACTCTTGTTAAGGCATAAATGAGATTTATTTAGGGCCTGTAGGTGTAGGCCTGATGGTCAGGAACCCTGGTTTTTCTCATCTCGCTTCTATACTTGTGGCATCTACTGTGTAAGAAAGAGAAAAGGATGCTTTTTAACTTTTGTGAAGGACTTTGAGATCTGCAGAAGCAAAGGAAAGTGCCATTAAGCAAAAAAACCCGCAACAACCAAAACACAAAAAAAAGTTTAAGAATGCATTTGCTCTATTTTTCTTTATTCTGTCATGCTGCCTGTGTGACTACTGTTACAGGTTGTACAACCTATAGTATCTGATGTTTAAACTTACTGAATAAAAGCATGAAAAACTAGAACCTTTCAGACTGTGGTTATTAAAATCACAATTACAAGATAGAAGCATAACTTTATGATGTAATTTGCAGTGGAAAATAATTGTTTTCAAGGTGGGGAGTCTGTCTGCAGTTAATGGAACAGAAGTGTAAACATGCCTTGGTTAATTGGCTAGTAAGTCATATATACTAAAGGCTTCCTGGCGTGTAGCAGGCTGTGTAATTTTAGACTATACAGTATATAAAAATACCCTGCTGAATGTAACAAAGTGGTTCTGGTCTATTAAAATGCTGGCAAGTGGCATAAGGAACAGAGCGTGCATAGATAAGAGAGTCATTCTGTGGGCGATTAGATAAGGTAACCAGGAGGCAGTCCTGCTTCTTTCTCTCTCGAAGTGCCACTGGGTTCATGCTATTCACACACACAGGGTTTTGGTCTGCTTTTAAGATAGAGCTTACTAAGGACTGTTCCAATATTTGAATAAAAAGGACATAGGGGATGGCTCATACGCTCCTCCAGAACATTGTTGCTTCTGAGCAGTGGTTTAAACTTACGGCTGGAATAGTACTCTGCACCCGGGAGTCACTCATTTTGATTTATTTGCGTAGTTCACAAATTATAAACAAAGGATTTTTGAGCCAGGCTGCACACATGCAGTTATTTTATGATGGCTTCTGTGAATAGTTGTTAAGAAATTAAAATGGGGGGCAAGGAAAGTAGATAAATTTTATGATAGGTGAGAGGCAAATTATGGTGACAGTCACTAGGACACATCATTGTTTAAGAAAAAGGTAACGGGGAAACCTGACCTGTAGCACTTTGGGGTTTTGGGGTTATTTTTTCTTTTTTTTTTTTTTTTCTTGAGTATAGAGACAAAAATATTGAATTCTCAGAACTTAACTGAGACTGCCTTCTGGTGCCCTGGATCGGATCCGTAGATTCCCTGGGTAGCGCATAAGGACACTTAAGCACCTTGGAGTACAGTGTGCCGATTCAGCATCTGCTGTGTGACAGCCTAGAGGGAATGCTGAGGAAAAGCATATATTGTAAATCCTTCCTTTACCGGGGAGTAAATGTTTTATAATGGCCATTTTGGGATACAGCAAATACTGTTGTTATGTACTTCGTGTCAATCTTACTGCTCCTTTCTTAACTTCAGAAAGGTTAATAACTTCATTTCACAGCAGAGTTGTTATGTTTGCACAGAAAAGATAAAGGTACTGCAGTATTCTGTCTATGAAGCTCTTTCAAATTTTTGGGTTTGGCAGGAGTTTTCTGTGGTTTGTTTTGGGTTTTTTGGTTGTTTGTTGGGTTGGAGTTTTTTTTAAAGCTTTACAGCAGTGTTTGTATTCTGATACTGAGTTCTGGGATACCTAGCTACATTAATTAAAATCACTTTAAACCTGATGGAGACACTTAGGTGGTAATTTAAGAAATGGTTTTTCGCTTTATTTGGGGACAGCCTCATGTCAAATACAGGAGCGGTCATTCAGCTAGGAACCTGGTCTCCTTGCTCTCAGGAAAGACACCAAGCTGCTGGGATGCCATTCACTTGTGCAGTTCCTGATGTTCCTCATGTGAACTTTGGAACAACTTTAGATCCCATGGCTACCAGTGTGTTGGCAGGCATCAGCAGTCCCGGCAAGTGGGGTGCAGGCTGGGAGCACTTGTGGGCTGCGGAGGGCACAGAACATGTACATTCTGTGACCTAGACAAAGCCTTTCTGCTTTGCTGTTAAGCGTCCCCTGTCCTATATGTAACAGAAGAAAAAGAAGTCACTGCAGCACTGTGTGTGTATCATCTCTGGAAAGATCATGAGAAGCTGGTATTTGTTACTGCAGGGTGGGTTTACTGACTAAACTGATGAACTTTGCCTAGTACCAAGAAGTTTCTGCATATTCTGATTATCAGAATTACGAGTTTCCAGGATCCTGCTATTTAAAAAGTTACACACTTTGTAAGTTTAGAGGCCTTGGGCACTATCATTCCTCAGCAGGGGCTTTTGGGTTTGCAGATTTAGATTTGGGCTCCAAACCTAGGTTTACACTTATTTTAGGAACAATTATTTGTGTAAATGTAGCTTCTCTTCGTTGTGCAAGCCTTTCTCTCGAAGAACAATTTGATAGTTAATTCTTTTCAAACCAGTGATGTTTTCTTAATAAAGAACTGGATTACAACAAAAAAGGCTGCGGCATTTTCTGTTTGCTAGAGAATGTTCTCTTCTTGGTACAAGTGGACAAACCTAATGTTTTGTTTTTAAATAAAGACTATAATATGGTTTCAATGCGTTCATTATATTCCTCTAGCAGCCACTCGATTTTTATTTTAAACTTTGTAACCCTTACACTTGACATTATGAAGCAAAATTTCTGTGTTTGATGCTTTCTTCAATCATTTTTAAGACTCATGGTCCAATTTGCAGCCACTGGGATCTTCTATTCCTGATCAGTCAGTCATTTGTCTCTTAAAACTAAAATTTTCTTATAGATTGCTTATGGTTTGATTTCTCTGAGGGGGTAAAAGAGCTGGAGAGAGGAACTGAGTTTAAACAGTGTCTTATAAAAAATATTGCGGTCATGTGACTTTTAGACGAAACAAATCTGTATTGCATGTTGAGCTTTCTCAGTGTCGAACACACTCAACCCAGTGAAAATGGACCCACTTGGCTTCACTCTGCTGTTGCAGTTAGTTTCATCATCATTAGTTAAAATCATCAGACCTGCTTTTTATGGAAATGTGCATGTGCAAGTATATGTCAGATGAGGGTCTTAATTGACATAGGTGTTTTAAAATGTATCCTCCTCTGCAGTGGTTACATTACTAAGCATTAGCAGCACAGAAGATGCTTCTCTGTTGAATCAGATATGACCTGAGTAGTTGTTGTTAGCCTCAAAAGTCTTTAGAACTTCTAACTGAATAATTTGTTTTGTAGGGTGAAAAGGGCACAAAAGGACAGGATGGTGTTGCTGGTCTTCCTGGTGAAAAGGTATGTTTGTGTATATTCATATGTAATTTGACCCACGGGAAGCGTTCATTATGTCAGTGGCTTATCTGTAATTATGTACAGAAATGGGAGGATAGAAGACTTCTGTTAGAAAATGAACTCTTATCTGCATTGCCATGTTTCTGTACCATGCTGAAAAAGCCATTCAGACCAGTAGTATTCTCTGTAGATGTGCTTGTTTGTTCGTTTGGTTTGGGGATTTTTTTCCTAGAAGGGGGGGCTATACAGACCAAAGGAAGCCACTTGTTCGACTGTGCAGTTTGTGGTCTGCAAGCCTAGAAAAGAGCTCTGTGCTCTCAACAGGGCCACTTGGTAGAGCTTTGAGATAAACACCACTGACCTCTAAGGAAAGACTTGGGAATAGCCATCCCTAAAGCAGCCTGTCAGCATACCTGTGTATTCAAGAGGATAAGTTTCACTTCATTTCAGGATGTTAGTTGTGTGAATTAAGGCAGTTGTACACATTTATTGAGTTCAGAGCTAGTTACCTGTATTAGAGGAAGTCTGCTAGTCTAATATCCAGCATCTTCAGTATAGAGGACAGCTCGCATAACACTGAGGAAACAGCATGTTGCTGGAGTTTCTAATAATTTGGCCTCTTTTGGGTTTTTTATGTTCCATAGTAGCAGTTGAAATAACAGTGGATTTTCTGCATATACATGGAAGCCAGTTAATATATAAATGAATGAAACTCTCCAGACATACGTGTTAGTGCAGTTCACTGATTTTTTTTGTTTGTTTTGTTTTTGTTTCAGTGGTATCTTTAGCATCACGATTTAAGTCCTCAACCCTCAATTCTGTCATTCTAGCTTCTTTTTCATCATGTTCTTCAAGTTTCTGTTCTTTCAGTGCCATAAATAAGTATGCCTTTTAAAGGCAGCTGTTCCTGTGAGAGGCTCAGAATTTCAATATTGCTCTTTATTGGTTGACATGCTGCTTTCATATGCGTGCAACATTTTAGTAATGGCAGAGGGTTTGGTTTATTTTGTAATTATCCAGGTTTCTGAGTACTGAAAGGAGCAGATTTTCACTTCAACTGTCAGGTTTAAAATCTGTAATTAACAGAATATAGAATTATAAAGCTATCTTTTATTTTTACTTACTATTTTTGTCTCAAATTGTGTTTTGTTAAAAAAGGTATGAAGTTATATAATATTACCAAAGAGACGAGTTTAAAAAAACAGTATTTGCTGCTGATGCCAAGTTATATGTGGAATAAAAATGGAAAGCAGGCTGCAAAGATGTTCAAAGGGCTTTGCAATATTGAGGGACTGAATCATGAAGTGTTATGTAAACCTCAGAGAAAATAATAGTGAAGTGATGCAGATGAAGAGAAAAACCAAAGCAAGTGTTACATATTTCATGTTGGACTCTGGACTAGCTATTTTACTGTTCATGAAAACATACACTCACTGTTAAGTACTAGTCAAATAAACAAAACGAATTTAGGAATAATTAGGAAGAGAACAGGGAACAAAGCAAAAGCATCTTAATGTCACTGTTATTAATGAAACTGTATTATGCTGCATCTTGAATGATGTATACAGTTCTGGTTCCCACATCTTGGAGTGAATCGTATATTACTGGAAAAGTTTTAGAGAAGGTGTCAAGAGTGATCAAGAGCATTGGGCATTTTCCAATTAAGATGTGACAATGTGGACCTGAAGTTGGAAAACGCACAACTGAGATTAAATATGTCCTATTCTGTGCTGTATACAATCATGAATGGAACAGAAAAAGATTAATAGATATTTAATTATTTATTTTACTCTCCTTTTCAGTGTGCAAACTAGAGCATCAAACCTATCTGATAGCAAGTTCAAAAAGGATAGAAAGGGCTCAATCTTCCTATTACATGATTACAGTTTGAACACTGCCACAGGATTTAGACAGTCTGAAACTTATTAGAAAGTTGATGGAATAGAAATCCATGGAGCGTGTCAGAGAGACACTGCTGCTCGTCTGAAAGTTCTTGAGCTCCAAGATGCTGAAGTCTGTGAAACCCACTGGTGAAGTCTGTACGGTTGCCCTGTCGTTATACTTTTCTGTAGACGTCTGTTGTTGCCACAATAGTAGTCATATACTTGACTAGAGAAACCTTTTATTTGATCCAGCTAGACAGTTTTTACTTTACTGTGCTCCCAGATGTGAATTAATGGAAAGAGTTATTGTAAAACATTGTAGATTGAATGAGATTGATTTAGAATGAAGCCGTGTTTTCCCTTGGCGCTTTCTGGCATCCTTCTCTGATGTTATCTTTCTTTGAAACTACCAGGCTATGTTGCTTTTCCAGTACAAGTTATTATTACAGTTTCCATGGTTAATACTGTTTGGGTTTTTTGTTTTTTTGTTTTTTTTTTTTTTTTGCTTAGCGCCTTGCAGATTCACCGTCAGGCCAAATCCCAAAGCTCCTGTTAGTTTACGTAAGGCTCAACAGACAGATCATATTTAATATCAAGGCACTGTACTTTTCCTGAACATTATAACTCTTTTAATTCAGAGTACATAAAAGCCATACCATTGTTGCAAATTAAAAATGAACTACCATGGAATCTGAAACTAGCAAATCCAAAAGCTGTTCAAAAAATAAACAAAGGGGGCAAACAAAATATTTTGCACATGCATAGCTAGATGAAGAAACAGATGCAGCCACCCAGCTTCTACTAGCAAGAGGTACCATGTCTATGCAGAGTAGTACAGTGCTGTGTGAAATTATTAGCTCCTTTCTGGAGTAGAATTACTTTATTTTCCTCATTATGTGAATGGTGTTAACATGCTCTGTCTCTCAGTTGATGCATCAAGAGCTATGTAAATTTGTGTGCATCTGTTATTTTTGTGCTCCTTTCTCTGGGATGTTCTGTGAAAAGGTACATAGATTCAAAGACAACTGAACAAAGTAAAGGAATAAAAATACTCTAAGCGCTGTTATATGCAAAGGCATCTCCTGCATTTCAGAAAGTTGAGGTGCAGACTGTGCAATGCTAGGAGATCATTCTCAGGAGCTACTGCTGTTTGTTTATCCTCTTAAACTCCTCATTACGCATTATCTTTTGTTCGAGATGTTATATTTGTTTGACTGCTATGGCTATTTTTATGTTTTTCTGCACTGTATTTTTCTGAACTTTGTGCAGATGTGCCCCGTGAGTCACTAGTCAGAAACAGGAAAAACAAAAAAGAAACAATACAATTATTTTTTATGTAAATTCAGTTTGAGGCTCCAGAGAGCAGAGGGGCTCTTTCTGATACACCCAAAAACTGTCCACTGCAATACTCCATTGTTCATACTTCTTTCCCTGGATAAAAATTTAGAGAATAACTGGCAGATGAAGTTGCCAAGCCACTATCCATCATATTTGAGAAGTTGTGGCAGTCCTGTGAAGTTCCCACTGACTGGAAATGGAGAAACATAACTCCAATTTTTAAAAAGGGGGGAAAAAAGGAAGGCCCGAGGAAGTACAGGCCAATCAGTCTCACCTCTGGGCCTGGCAAGACTGTGGAACAGATCCTTCTGGAAACTAAGCTAAGGCACATGGAAAATAAGGAGGCCGTTGATGACAGCCAGCATGGCTTCACTAAGGGCAAATCGTGCCTGACAAATTTGGTGGCCTTCTGTGACAGGGTTTCAGTGTTGGTAGATAAGGGAAGAGCAACTGACGTCATCTACCTGGACTTGTGCAAAGCATTTGACACTATCCCACACGACATCCTTGTCTTTAAATTGGAGAGACGTGGATTTGACAGATGGACAACTTGGTGGGTAAGGAATTGGCTGGATGGTTGCACTCAGAGAGTTGCGGTCAATTGCTCGATGTCTAAGTGGAGACCAACAACGAGCGGTGGTCCTCAGGGGGTGGTACTGGGAGCAGCACTGTTTAATATCTTTGTCAGCGACACGGACGCTGGGATTGAGTGCACTCTCAGCAGGTTTACTGATAACACCAAGCTGTGTGGTACGGTCAACACTGTGGAGGGAAGGGATGACATCCCAGAGGGACCTTGACAGGCTTGAGAGGTGGACTCATGCAAACCTCATAAAGTTCAGCAAGTCCAAGTGCAACATGGGTTAGGGTGGAGTGCAGGCTGGTTGGAGAATGGAAGGACAGCAGTCTTGCTGAGAAGGACTTGGGGGTACAGGTGGATGAAAAGTTGGACACGAGCCGGCAATGTGCACTCACAGCACAGAAGGCCAACCATATCCTGGGCTGCATCAGGAGAAGCGTGGCCAGCAGGTCGAGAGAGGTGATTCTGCCCCTTTACTCCACTCTTGTGAAACCCTACCTGCAGTACTGCATCCAGCTCTGGAGCCCTCAGCACAAGAATGACATGGAACTGTTGGAGTGAGTCCAGAAGAGGGCCAGGAAGATGATCAGAGGTCTGGAGCACCTCTCCTATGAGGACAGGCTGAGAGAGTTGGGGTTGTTCAGCCTGGGGAAGAGAAGGCTGCAAGGACACCTTCTACCAGACCTCTAGTTCCTGAAGGGGGCCCACAAGAAAGCTGGAGAGGGACTTTTTACAAGGGCATGTAGTGATTAGGACAAGGAGTAATGGCTTTAAACTGAAAGAGGGTAGATTTAGATTTGATCTAAGGAAGAAATTCTTCACTGAAGGTGGTGAGGCACTGGAGCAGGTTGCCCAGAGGAGTTATGGATGCCCTCTCCCTGGAAGTCTTCAAGGCAGGGTTGAATGGGGCTTTGAGCAACCTGGTCTAGTGGAAGGTGTCCTTGCTCATTGCTGGGGGATTGGAACTAGATGATCTTTAAGGTCCCTTCCAACTCAAACCATTCTATGATTCTATGAAGAAATACATTGCAGATCTTACTCATTTTGCTATGAGTAAGCCAACAATATAAATTCATTTGACCCATTTTAAAAGTGGCTATTAGAAGGCCTGTTTCTGTAGATTTGATTAGCTCAAACATACCTGACATTGTAGTGAAAAACTAAAGTTAGAATAATCCTATCCATTATACTTTATTACTTGA